TTTTAAAATGTGAAAAATATATACTAACTTTGCATCAACTTTTTCTAGAGACTGATTTCGAGACGTGCATTCAAAGATTTTCTATGAAATCGAATATTTTTTTGTAAAAAACTGGGAGATTCACTTGATAGGGTAAATTATAAAATTTTGGATTTTGATCTGAAGCTCATTGGCGTACCAATCTTAACAAGAGAGAAACTCTTCTATCTTCTAAACGTTATTGAGTATAACATGCACGAGCCGGATCACCAACGTCTGTATTAACTATGAAAAGTGCGATGTCAACAATAACATTAAACAAACGAAACTAGAATACTTGGACAGTATAACACGAAACGTAAATCGATATGATCTGCTGCAACTTATTCTTCAGTGCAAAATAAATCTGAGGCAATGGTCTGCCTTAACCACTACTGAACTATTGCGATTAGCAGCCAATAAAGTAAGATTTTCAGATAAAATTTCAGATAAAATCGGCCGGTGCATCGATTCTTGTTTTTGGCAGGGATATCGTGCAGCGAAATCAAATAGCGTTTGCATTTAGAGTTTTAATTATTTATGGGTGACTCTATAGGTAAGGTGTGACAAAGTTTTGCTTGGGTTTAAAATCTTGCGGATTGATTTGATATTTACCCGATTTTTTTTTGTTTTCACTTTCAACTTTCCATGGTATCTGTGGTACGTCGAAATTACAAAACATCCAAAACGCTGGTGCATGAAGGTAGTAGGTTCATTCGAAAGGTAATTTCTTGATATCTGATTTTCTGTTGAAAACAGAAAACATAACTAGAGAAGATATTTGTTCATCTTTAAAAATGTCAAAAATTGAAAGGTAAAAACACACTGCAAAGAGGTACTTCAAAATTGAACAAACAATCACAAAAGGAAAAGGAGAACGTTAACTATTGAAAGTACATGTCGGATATCAGAGACAAGTAGAAAGTTACTATCGTCAGCCGTATGAACTCATTTAGAAGAACGTCCATTAAATATTAAATATTTAAATGTTGTGATCTCTTATCGGATTTGCGTAAATTAGAGTATTTTTGTAGCTGTAATTTGCAGCGTGAGGACATGTATGGCGCTTGGAGGTGAAATTTGAATTTTTGGTTAGTTCTGGTTATTGTTCACTTTGGCAGTGGTTATGCTCTGTTTCAGAATACCACGGAGTTCTAAATCATGAACTGTAAAATCTTGTGATCTTAGACCTATTCCGTAGGCGTAACATTGTACCGATGATGATAGTCAACGGTCCCGATAGTGACGGTTAGTTCCTGAAGATAGCTAATGTTTCTCATAGTTGCAAAAATAGTTGAAATGAATAATACACTCATTTTACTTTTAATAAAACATCTTGGACAAAATAATGTCCGAAATGAAAAACGAAGATTTCATTCCGCCCATGGGTAACAAGAAATTGTATAAACCTGATGTACTAAATTATATGCCAGCAATATTTGATATTGGGGAGCAGAGGATAGTTTTGAAGGGAAAGCAGGAATATCTATTATTTGGACGAAACTTGGGTAAATGATGGATATACCGTTGGTAAAATATGCCAGGAGAAAAAATTAAAGATACACCTGGCAACCTTTCATTGAAGGATTTTAAACTGAAGTAAAATCACCCCCGGAAAAAAAAAGATTAATAATTACTGACATCGGTAGCAAAATGGATTTGTCGTTACGGAATAAAAATGAAATTGAACTGTGGATGTGTCTAAATCTAGTCGCGATATCATTTAAATTTTAAGGTAAATTATTATAAAAAGTCGACTTTTAATGACATCCTAACAAGTCATAATTCCATTCAACAAATTTTTATTGATACTATCAATGATACTATTGATGATTCAAATGAAAGCGGACTAAAGACAACTTATTCTTCCTGGATCTGTTAGAGTTGTGGATAATGCGATCTAAAACTCAAGAAAATCCGAAAAAATACGTGTGAAAGTGACCTTATCATTGGGTTTTAAATAAGAAGAAATTTCTCAAATCTAATGCTGAAAAAGAAGCTATTAGAGATTGTAAATTTGAATAAACCATTTTGTACGAATTTTTTTGTGGGCAAAATCTATTCAAAACGAAATAAAACGGTGCCTTGCCTTCCGCCATATCACTGTGAATTGAGTCCCATAGAATTGGGCGCAAGTAAAGTTCGTGTATTGAAGAGGGAATAAAAGCAGTGGATTGTGAAAAATGGAGTGCGTCGAACATGTGATTAAAAGGGAAGAAACAATGCTGATAACATGGTAATTATTATTATTTCTCCGAAATCCAACGACTATAATAGTTCATCTGTCTACTCGGATGGTGATGGCTAAAATTTGCAAATCAAATTGTATTGTAAATAGCAGATTTTTGAAATAATAATAATAATAGTACATTTATTTTCCAAAATACGGTTTAGGGCAACATTTTGATATCTGTGGCAAAAAGGGGTCTGAAAGTCAATGTAATTATAATTCGAGTTCAACCTCTCAGCTAATAGGAACAGTATTATTAACAATTTTAATATATATGTAACGAAAAATAACCACACTCGAAAAGTCACTAATATAATACTTGAGTCAATAATATACAAGGGGTCTATAGCCGTAGCCGTCTTCCTTCCTTTAATCGGGCCCTCCTTTCTGATCTAACTTCCCGTGATCCTTCTCCCAACTGTCTTCCTCGCATTGGCTCTTCTATCTCATCTGTGTATGATCTTGGTTGCCCTTTCTTCTTCCAATTACTTTGTTGATGCATCTGTTCCTCGCCCTTCTAAAATGTTCGTAACATATTAATTAGTCTTTTGGTTTCTATGTGATGTATTACATTGTTTTCCACTCTCATTCTTCCGATTTCTTCATTTATAACTCGGTATCTTCTAGCTAGGATTTTTCTTTTATTGTTTTTATTTGTGACCCATACCTCTGCTGCAAATGTCATTATACTCTTTACAATTGTATCGTATATTAACTTTTTCGTTTTTTATCTTGAGGTTGTCCTATATAACTGAATGGATCGTGTGTGCCCAAGCCTATTCTTTTTTTCCTCCTCATAGTAGCATTTTTAGGCAGTGTAAAGCCCAAGAGAAGTTGTTTGTTCCTTTTATTTCAATGTTGTCCTCTATTGGTAAATTGACTGCATTCTCTTTCGTCGTTGTAATGTACATTATCTTCTTCAAGTTTATTTCCAATCCTACCTTCTCATATTCTTCCTTTAACTTCCTGACCATGTAACTGAGGTCCTCTTGGACTATCACAACCTGGTCATCCGCTAAACAAAGTGTGTCAAAGTATTCATTCTTTACATTTATTCGCATTTATGTTTCCAGGTTTTCAAGGCATGTTCCAGGAATATCTTGAAAAGAATTGGTGAAGTTGACGTTGTGACTTTGTTGACTACGCTGTTGCCAATTTTTTGTGTATTTTGATGTTTTTATACCAGTTTTCCCATCGCCTTTATCAGTGTTGTTGGTATATCTAATGTTGACATAGTTCCTATACTTGCTGTGACACTAATTCCTTGATAATTTTCAGTCTTTCCACTCGTCTGGTATTTATTTTCCATTTATTGCTTTCTCAAACATTAGCTGTACCATTCTTAGCACCTTCTCCGGTCCATATTTTCTGGGCTGTATAAGTTGTCCCTCTTCTTCTTTTTCTGACTTTTTTAATACAAATTCTTGCCTTCTTTCCGTGACGAGCTTCTTATAGCGTTGTTCCCTTTTTTCGTTTTCTATGTGTGGTATATACGTCATTTCATTTCTGTTTGAACTTCCACCACCGATGAACTGGTGTACATTTTGGCATGTCTTTTCTCAATTTTCGTTCTTTTTCTTGTTTACCAGTCTTTTTATTTCTCTGTTTTTTCTTTGTATTTTCTTTTATTTCGTTTATCGTTTTACCACTGAGATTATTTTGATATTTCCTTTCTTTCCCTTCTTCTTCTCCTCAAGCTTCTATCCCTGTTTGTAGCATACATTATTTGACGTGTGGGTATGTTGATTGGTTGTATGTTGCCAATAATCTATGGTCACTTCCAAATTCGGCTCCTGATCTGATGTTTCTGGTTTTTTTGGGTGCAGGTGTATTTATGGATGTCTTTATGTTGGAAAAATCCGTTTGTAACTTTTAAAGTCGTTCAGTTCTCATAGTTTGATGAAACTTTCTCCGTTGTCATTAGTTACCTCTTCTTCGTATTTTCCGTTACGTTATTAATTTCTTTTCTTATTAATTTCTTTTGTTACGTTGAAGTCTCCTGCAATAATAATTTTCTCCTTTTGTTTTATTTGCTTTATCTCGTCTTGTAAGGCGTCCGAGAAGCTTTCTTTTTCGATGACCTAGGTAGTTCTCTGCCGTAGATCGTGATCCGCATTGTTATGAGTCTTTTACTTACCGGTTCCCATGTTTTGATGTTTTTTCTAAATTTTTTCTTTATTAATTATACCCACTCCTGCTTTGGCTGTCCACTCTTTCTTTACTCCGCTCCATATATGTAGTATGCCGTCCATTTTTACCTCACCGTTTCCCTTTTTCTTAGTCTCAGTGATAACCATTATGTCCTGATTTTCAATTGTTCAAGAACTTCTTCTCTTTCCTTGTGCGTTACATGTGGCGAGTCTCACTTTTCGTTTTTTTTTTCTTTTCTTCGCCGTGTCTTCATCGGGATTGACATTTATAGCTGGTCCTTGAAAACCACTAGTATAATAGTCCCCCCCTCCCTTCCCCCTTCCACCAGTCCACCGCTTTCACTGTACACAAACTTGTATTTCATATTAATTTAGGAACGAGTCAGCATTTTACATTTCATTATTCTCTCGCACTAGGAACCGTAGTATAGTAATTCTTCGACAAAGAACGGCAGAAGTAACATAGCGTAAATTTCAGCATGCCCTTTTGCGATAAAAGGTTAATTCATAAACTCAAAAGGTGTAAGACAGTCATTTAAATTTATATGTGAAAAGTTGAGGTTGAGTACGGTACCTTTCACATTATTTCCTTTTATTTTTAGAATTTCAACACATCGATGGACGAGCCACGCAGGAAACGACCAGATGACAACAAGCCAAATCATATCCTGCTGTTTACCGTGATCAACCCAATGTATCCGATTACAGTGGTAGGTACCGCCATTTTCCATTAATTTTTTGCATTTCCATCTTTATGACGACGTCGTGTATGCACACTTCTCTGAGGAAGTGTTTCCTTGTGCGATTTTGAGGTAAAAAGTAAACTACAGGGTTCCAAAGTATGGTCACAGTGGGTCCCTTTTTTTAAATAGAAAATCATTTTTTAAAATCCAGTTTTGAATTCTATGTCAAATTTCACCTATAATTGATATAGCATACCTTATACCTATTTCTTATTTTTATGAGTAAATGAATAAAAAACTGAAATATAGTTCTGACGTTAACAGGTAAGTAGCTAGCACCAGTAACATTTTTAAATTGTTACAATTATATTTCAGTCAATAAAGAAAGTGAATGGTATTGGTATTTTCCGGCCTGAGAGATCTTCAGATTATGCTCTGTGAATATTTAGAATCAAAAGTGTATAAGGAAAAACCACAAAATTTAAATGAGTTAATATTCCGAATTAGACATGACAAAATTAATGATATAGGGTACATGAGTTAAGTATGAAATTTGACGCAGGATGCGAAAATGGATTTAAAAAATGAACTTTGTATCGACATCTACTTTTGTGCGTTCACAACTTAGGCTTAAGAAATATTTATGGAAAAACCTTTGAAAACCTCATATGCGATAACGCTAAAACAAATTGTACTTCAAGTTTCTTTATCCCGAAAAGTTCAAAAAATAAACAAGAGTCGGTGGCCAATTATTTTTCTATAATAAAATAATTGTTACGACTGCAGTTACATATGGGGGGTTAAATTTGCCTTGCTACTTTCAACAACACCGTGTTTACATGTCAAGCAGTCGTCCCTTGAAGTTTGACTTTCTGCTTTTCGCACACCCCGTGTTTATACTTTTAAAAAGAAATTAATTTGGGAAGAAATTATTTTCCAAAAAGTTCGGACTTGTGGATAAGGTCATTTTCGATATGAATCATGCGGAATCAATCTTCGTCCAACATTTAAATGAATGAAAGAAGCTTTGGATGCGTGAAACTTTCTTTGCATAATATAGGGTTATTATTTTCGATGTATAGAACTTTAAGTTGGCATTACTGTTCAAGATGGCGACCGATTTAACAGCTGTCAAGTGTTTTATTCTCAGTTTGGTTTGGCAATTCATCATGAATAGACTCAAGCCTGAACTACGCTTGCAAATAGTGCAATTTTATTTCGAAAATAATGGTTCTGTGCGGAATACGTATCGCGCACTACGTCCATTTTATCGTCGACAAAATCGTCCATCAGAGCAGTTAATTCGATTAACCATGGCACGTTTTCGCACCACGTTTACTTTTATTGATAACTCGGATCCCCAGAGACGCCGTACGGTGCGTACAGAAGAAGCTTTTGCTGCTGTAGAGCGTAGCATTGAGGAAGACCCGAATGAGTCCATCCGCCATCGAGCACAGGAATTGGATCTGTGTGCAACCACTTTATGGCAGATTTTGCGGAAGCATTTTGGTTTACGTGCTTACAAAATCCAACTCGTGCAAGAATTGAAGCCAAACGAGATTGCCGTTGTTCCCGATTTTCATAAGCGAATTTTGTTTAGCGATGAAGCGCACTTCTGGTTGAATGGCTACGTCAACAAACAAAACTGTATGTCGAAACACCGTTACATCCAGAAAAACTGACTGTTTGGTGCGCTTTATAGGCTGGTGGAATCATTGGTCCGTACTTCTTCAAAAACGATGATGGCCAGAACGTTACAGTCAATGGTGATCGGTATGGAGTTATGATTATTAACTCTTTCATTCCTGAATTGAATAACCACAATCGATTTATTGAAAGACACGTTTGGTGACCGCCTAATTTCACGTTTTGGACCTGTGAATTGGCCTCCAAGATCTTGTGATTTAACACCGGTAGACTACTTTCTGTGGGGCTAGGTAAAGTCATTGGTCTATGCGAATAAGCCACAAACGCTTGACCATTTGGAAGACAACATTTGCCATGTTATTGCCGATATACGGCCACAAATGTTGGAAAAAGCCATCGAAAATTGGGCGTCCAGATTGGACTACATCCGCGCCAGCCGTGGCGGTCATATGCCAGAAATCTTATTTAAAATGTAATGCCACAAGATTATCTTTCTGATAAATAAAATTCATGTCAATCGAATAATCCATAGTTGTTTTATTGCAACTTAAATTTCTATACATCGAAAACAAACACCCCTTACAATAAGGGTGGCATACAATACATTGCAGGCAAATTTACTATATAATTTAGATTAAGAATGTATTGATTGATTGAAGATATTGATTGATGAAATCTACTTTATTCTTATTTAATATTTCGTAATATAAGTTAAGATTCCGCAAATACAGTGGGTATAGTATAAAATATACAAAGATATACATATATTTTTTTCTACATCTAGTGCTGTTGTTGTTTATCTGTCTATAAGAAGAAATAAGTCCTATTGAGAAAATTTTAAAGTTTTATGTATAAATTTTAGTCTATCCCGAAGAACTATGACCGGGTTTTTATTTCTTGTTTTTTTTTTGTGGTCTACGGGATGAACTTCAATACACAGAAGTGCTTGCTGAATGTATGTTGCTGGAAAGGTAACATGGGTACATTGGTACATGAGCTTTCTGAAATGCGTTGATACAATTTTGTGTATTTATGATAATATGCTTATTGCACTTTTCAGTTATTTAAATAATTTTGGTTTCTGTTTTTTTTTTTAAATAATATATAAAAGAAGAACGTTTAAAAATAACCAATTTAAATCAAATTCGAATTAAGCCAGTCTTTTGCATTAGTGTTTGCAGAGTATACATAGTGTTATATCGAAAAAAAATTTTTTTTACTATTAAAAAAAATGTCTTATAAATTTTACTTTCATGTTTGGTAGGTATTATAATAATTATAATTAAATTAATGAAGTTAATTATCACCAAGTTATTGTTATAATTTCTGGAATTGTTCTGCAAACATATTATTTTTCTCGAAAAAGGTTCGTTTGATCGAAAAACTTAAAAGACCATTTTTATTTAGAATTAATTATGTTATCTATAGCATATTATACTGCAATTCTGGTAACCTGTATTTGAGTCACGAGTTTTGTTTGGCACGAGCGGAATTTTTGGGTACATTTTTGCAAAACAACAGGAATACATCCACCGAAATGACCGTGAGAATTGACAGCCGTGGGAAATATCTCCGAAAACATCCGGTTGCTCTTAAACTTTGAGGTAATATCCCGGAAATGTCCGAGGTGGCTCGCAGCCGTAGGAAACGAAACTGACTTCGTAAAAAGACATTTTGCGCACACTAGATCGGTGTATAATTGGATGTTTTAGAGAAGGTAGTACAGCAATTTGTTTATAAGTGGCAATAACATCCACTAATTTTGAAGGCAAAAGAAAAGTTTGTTTTAAAATTAGAAAGGACGATTTTTTCTAAATATTTCAACAATTTTAGGTCATATGAACTTTGTCACTTATTTTTATCTGCTGAACACGCTGTTAAAGTTTCTTCTCTATGATTTGAACCATCCAGTATAGAACAAATAATATTGGATCTGTTTTTATTGAAAATTTTTGTCTATTCGCTTCTGTTACTTGCGTGGCTATTTTTTAAGTAACAAATTGATAAAAAAGATGTATTAAAGTAAAGTTTTGATAAGCGTCGTTTTTCGGTAGTACAATCGTTAAACAAACATTAAAAACAATCTCGATAGCCGTAAAAGTTGTTCGTGGTGTAAGCGCGAATTATAAAAACAGATTTAGATATATTTACTTGTTGGTATAATCTTATCGCGAGATTGTAAAATGCGAGCACTTAAAATTCAATTATCAAAAAAAAAAGTAAACGCATTCGATCGGGTTTCGGTAAATATACGGGCCCTTTAATTGTACGTTGTTGTTCGTGGAATTTTTGGAATTGTTTTTTGATGTTGCTTATTAGGACCAGGCGACGGGGGCAGTTCACTGTGGAATATGAGAACATTTAAAACCATTGGTTCTTACCGGTTCAAATTGGCAACTAAAGCGAGCCTCAATGATTTCAACGCCTACTAACTCAAGTCGGAAGCTGTTTTATTTCTTTCAATTGAATGTTACATTTTCCCCCCTTGTGCCAATTAAACGTAAGTTGTTACTTACGTGACTGAAGTGGAAAGCACAGCAAAATTGAGGCTTAAGCTTAGAGATCTAAAACGTAGAAGTGAACGGGCGCTGAGGCTTATTGGGCAGTGTTTCCATTTTATTTCAAGGATGTAGGTCCAAGAAAACAGGTTTTTTTACAACGGGTTCCGTATAACTCTACATTGTAAGGTAAGCCTTCTAACCAAAATATTGGCTATGCCGGTTAAAGCGCTTTAGCGCTTTGATTTGATGCCAAATTGACGCGTTAAATTGTCGATGTGTGAAAATTAAATAGTTGATGGGAATTTATCAGTTTTATATATTCAAGGTTTTTGTAATTTTGCAGGAGGAATTTCTCGTATAACGTTATCACTCTAAACACAATGTACTTCTTGTACAATGTTACTTCTTGTTCGAGGAACATAACTAATAAAAGTGTTTTTCTAACCAAAGAAAGTATTTTTACTTTTTTATACAGTGTGGCCCATTTAAGCTGAACAAACTTCCATATTTTGGCTATCTAAATAAATAAAGTTTTGATGTTTTGTTCGGTTATACAGGTTGAGGGTTCACATTTTTTAAAAGATGCTCAAGTGAAATTTAAATTTTAACTGCTACCTACTGCGAATTCACAAATAGGGTCAATTTTAGATTTTTTTTGCGTCCCGTTAAAGAAATGAGAAAATTATTTGAAAAAGTTGTTTCGAATATTATTCTTACCCCACATACCAAATTTCATGAAATCATTCATATTTTAATTTTTTTTATTATTGTAATCCCGATTTGTGGGCCTTGTTTTATAAACTTTATTTTTTATCACTCCCGAAAATTAAAAATCGGGTGGTGTAATGTCAAGGGACCTCGGAGGGCATGGTTCAAAAG